ATGGGAGCATCTCCCCCATGAAGACAGGCTGAGGGAGTTGAGGCTGTTCAGCCTGGAGAAGACTGCAGTGGATCTCATAGCAACTTTTCAGTATCTGAAGGGCCTAGAAGGGAGCTGGAGAGGGACTCTTTGCTCGGAACTGCGATGATAGGACAAGGAGTATTGGGTTCAAATTGACAGAGGGAAAGTTTAGGCTAGATATTAGAAAAATATTTTTTACTGTAAGTGTGGTGAGACACTGGCACAGGTTGCCCAGGGAGGTAGTGTATGCCCTGACCCCAGCAGTGTTCAAAGCCAGGTTGGATGAGGCCTTGAGCATCCTGGTCTAGTGAGGAGATGTCCCTGCCCATGTCAGAGGGGGTTGGGAGTAGATGTTCTGTAAGGTCCATTCCAACCCCTAAAATTCTATGATTCTATGATTTGTTAACAATTGTAAAGATTATAGGTGCTTTTTCATTTGTCTCCTTTGGTTTTCAGCCAGAGAATTTGTCTTGATGACAGTCAATAACCACATACAGCGTATATAAAGATTACTATTATCACTTGTAATTTATATCCTCCTGTAATGATACAGAATATCTCAAATGAATATTTTAAAGTTCACCCATCACTCAACACAACATCATGGATAGATGACATGGATACAGTGTACCCTGCATGAATACAGAGATGCAGTCCTCGTTCCAGAACAATGCACAAAAATTGAAAAGATTTGAAATTATTTGCATTATTTTAACTGCTTGTATAGGAAAAGAGAGTGTATATTTTCAAGACTTACCTGAGGTTCCAGGAGCAGAAGTGGTTTTTTCTGCAGAAACTGTAGAAGGAAGAGCCCATCCTTTAGTAGATGAAGCATCCAAACTCTCATTTTGTGCCAATTGTGTTCCACTTGCTTGTGTAACTGGAAATAAGACAGATGTTCAGGTAAGATACACCTGTATAAGCATGGTCTTAGATCCTGGATCATCCCTCATCCCTCAGACAAACACTCCCACCATCATAGAAAAGACTTAAGGTCAGAAAGCTCTACAGGTTCTGGTAACTGCTTGTCAAGCAATGGACCATCCCTATGGAATTGTTACTACTGGCATAATTAAGGCATCTTTAAAGTACATCCTAGCAACAGAAACAGTCTCACATCTGTGCCAGAACACAGGCCAGAGCTCTGACTTGGGGGCCCAGAGTAGCCCAAACAGTCTTGCACCAAGAACAACATGAGCAGAAGACCGTAACTCACTTATTGCCCTCTATATCTTCCTTCATTTAAAAATAAATGAATAAATAAATAAATAAATCAAGCTTCAGCCACAACTGTCACATAATGTGATACTGTATAAAGTTTTAGGGATTGCAATTAAGAACAGAGTTAATTATTGCATTCTGTGCTGTTAAAGCCTAGGAAATAAATACATCCCTGAAAATTAAGGTGTCTTAGTTCTGCTCTAATTCAGTCAATAGATGATCAAGGCCATCTGTGTCACAAGATTTGCAGTCTAAGGTGAGTCCAAGATAATGGTGCAGGGCACTGCCTGAGCCTACTGAACTGAAGGTCACCAAATGACAATAAGAAATAATTTAAGCTGTTCCAGCACTGCTACACTCAAACCTCAGCATAACAACAGGCAAGACAGTGCCTACTGAAAAAAACATAGGGATGCCCAAGAGTAACCTCATACTTCCTTTCTGATATAAATCAGAGATGCAACTGAGCTGTAAACTGTTTTCAGTGCCTCTTCATATGAATTTCAAACACTGGAACTAAAACAACTTCAAGACACGTTTTAGTCAGAGAGCAACATCACGTACACACAACATGTAAATCTTATGGAATGCTTCATCACACACTTTATTCAGAAACTCTGATTACTGCTTTGGCCCCTCAAAGAGCCCGTGGTTCAGGAAAAAAAACCCTGACACCCAAAGCTCCCTATTCTTTCACTACACACCTTTAACTTGGCCCTTCCCTTGCCCTCTTGTTTCTTAAGTGCAATACCTTGGAAAGGCAAAAATCAATGAGCTAAGAAAGAGTTGAAGCCACTGGAGTCTGCAGATTCATATAACTTTGGAAACTGACAGAAGCTGGACATCCAAGGATAGTATCTTTCAAGGATGAGGCATGAAAATTATGCAAAACAAGATTAAATACCTAAAACTTTCACTGGGATTCTAGTGACAAGAAGCATAATTTCAACTCTGTTCTTTTCAGGAACCTCAGCATTGTGTACTCCTTCAATATGCAAGCTTAACCTGAAGTAGAGATGAGTGTAAAAAGCCCCTCTGCCTAATTTTTTACTGTAATGCAAAGATCTGAGAACTGTAATAATTCCTGCATTCTTCTCATAGAAGCTTTAAATGAATCTTTCAAATCAATCTTTTGCCACTTTTGATTCTTACTGTGGTTGCTTCAGACTCAAATTTTATATGTTGAATTTTAATCTGAGATTCAATTTTTAAAAAGCAAAAAACCTAAAGCACCTCCCTCTCCCTTTAAGATGCACAGGCTTGTAACAGCAACAGCAACCATCTTGTGACTCCCTTGTCATAAGATAGTAAAAGCTTGCATGGGAGAACAAAAAGTAAGCCAGAATAACAGTAAGCCTTCATGTGCAGAGACATTTGAACATAAATATGCTTCATCAACACTGCAAAACCATCAGGTGTGTGGGAGAGAAGAGGGGGGAGGAAGCCAATTGCACTGTAACCCCACAGAGGGCTGCTTTCCCATGGGGATCACTCGTTCCAGGCATCCCATCAGTTCTGGCAGCACCCCAGCCCCGGGTACTTCTCTTGTGTCTGGGAGCTGCGAGAACAGATTGTTCTCAGGAACATGGGATGTGCACTGGATATGGGCAGGGGATCAGGAGGGGAGGGATGAGAGTGTTTCCATTTTAATTTTTTTTCATTCAGCTTGGGTGAGATTCTTCCAGTGACTCGGATAGCACAAAGTATGACTCACACCTTTACCTAATGCTTGGCCTGAATCTGGTTGCATTTATTTTGTCAGGCTGCAGAACAGGCTCAGTGTTTCTGGTATCAAGGGGTGAAGTAAATGTGCTACAGGGAAAAAAATAAAAATCTGTGTGCCAGTTTTCACCACTTCCAAGACGAAAAATGGAACCTGGTGGGTAAGATTCCCTTAATTCCACTGTACTAGTGTAAGATTAAATCCTAGCAGCCCAATTCTCTGCTGACTTGTGGCTTTGAAACAGCTTTTAAGCAGCATCCAAGCACACCTAATACCCAGCATAGGGTCTACCACCAACACATTTAGCAGATCAGATAGCTTCTGCACAAAAGCCTATGTGAACAGAAGCATCCATATCCAGCCACAGCTCATGTGTGCAACGACAGCACTGACAGCACAGTATGCCTGCTAGAAATCTGCCTTTTTGGTAAATCCTGTAACTCATATCTATGCAAGGTTTAATTTGATCTCAACAGCAGGAGACAGCTCGAGCCCTTACTGTAGTGCCCATGCTCAGCGTGGGAACAGGCAGGAGACTCTGCGCGGGCGCATGGTGACTCCGTTCTGTCATCCCCACTGACACATCGCTGCAGTAATTCATCACGCTTCAGCTCAGCCAGCTGCAGCAAAGATTTCTGCCTGCTGACATGGGGAGGGCCTGGGCTTGCAGAAAAGCAGCACAGCAGAGAAAAGCGGCTGCTGCTGCTGCAATAGCAGTTGCATCAATCAGTTAATGGGTTTGTTGTCAACAGCTGATTATGAATAAAAATGGTAAAGCCATAAAGACTGTAAAATAGCTGTCCAAGCAGGGATGATTGTGCAGCAGCAGAACTCTCTGGTGGTGATGCAGCTCTCCCCGTTGATATTTTGATAAGATAAATGACAGTGTGTTAACACATATTTGTCAAAGGGATAATCAACAACGGGGAACATGAAGCTGCTCTGCAAAGCTGCTGTCTGAGCTTCAGGTATTTCCTTGCTCTTTGTGCCCTGAAAACCCTTCATTTTCTTTAACCAGCTGAAATTCGATGCATATACTCACTTGATCATAGCATGATTTTCTACTTAATCTACGTATAATCGACATATATTTTGGCATTTCCCAACAGTACTTTAAATTTTCTTTACAGCAAGTTGTTACCTGACTAGTTTTGACATTGTAAGATGCTTCAAGTAAGCAGAAAATGCTCTGCATACACTCTGTGCACTGCAAAGAATACAGATATCTACACTTGTGTTAAAACCTTACTTGACCAATAAATAAGTTAAGGAAACACTTTTACAGGGCAAAAGGAACTGTACTCAAACCATGGTAAAATGCTAGCATGAGGACTTAGTTAGATGGAAGATCAAATCTTCTCCCTCAAGCTCCTATTTTTAGCATAAACACACACATAGGTCTCGCCCCTGTAATAAATAAACCTGAAAAGCCATTTGCATTAATAAATACATGCACAAAAGCTTTGAAAAACCCCTTTGTAGCAAATCCAATGACATTTGTCCCCATTCAGAGAAATGAAAACTGTCTAGGGAGGTCACCGAGCAGGTGTCAGTTTTAATGTTTACACCTGTTGCTGATTGCATTTGTTGTCTTGTAGCTTTACATTTTCTGGTAAGAAAAGCCCCAAGTATTTTAAAATACATGTTTTGAAACATCTCTCTGCCTAACATGTCTCAGCAGCCAACTATACTGTGTTTACCTATAGCATGTGGTAACAACCTGAGGACAACTGAGCAATACACGTTAGTATAACTCTCTTCTGGTAGTGTTACTGGAGTAAAGCTTTCTTTTTACTTACCAGTAGTGTGATAAAAAGAGACAAAGTATCTCCTCCACTACTCTTTCCTTACTTTTTAGTGTCTCATTGCACCATGATGTATCATCATCCAAGACAGTGGCATAAGGTAACTCAGAAACATAACAGTCAAAAATTCACTTTTACTTGTAATTTAATACCTTTAGCACTGAACTTGCATAAGATGCTTGCTCCATATTCAAGGGAGGAAGAGCAGAATGTTCTGTTGAATTTCATTTCATATTCTCTTTGATAACTCCAAGTATTCATTGCACCATGATGTATCATCATCCAAGACAGTGGCATAAGGTAACTCAGAAACATAACAGTCAAAAATTCACTTTTACTTGTAATTTAATACCTTTAGCACTGAACTTGCATAAGATGCTTGCTCCATATTCAAGGGAGGAAGAGCAGAATGTTCTGTTGAATTTCATTTCATATTCTCTTTGATAACTCCAAGTATTCCAGGATATTAAATCCTGATTGCAGATGCAACTGCAACTTTATATGGTGTGACACCATATAAATTCTTGTTTTGGGGCCTGAACTACACAACTGAAATGTGAACTCTTGGATTTGAAACCTTATATTAATAAATAGGAAGGCTAAAGAGACATGTCCACTGTTGGCTTGCAATATAATAAACAGGGCAGGAGGACAAAGAAGGAGAGATTGTACTTATGGCCTGTGGAGGAAAAGAACATTGAAATCTTTAAAAAAACCCACAGAGATGTTTGCATGATTTCACAGTGTGTGGAGCACTGGGGGCTTTTCCTGAATCCATGATAAAAGGTGACAGCAGCCACAGAAATTGCAGCAGAGACAGGAAGCCCTGTCAAATCTTTGCTGTGTGAATGAGATCATTTGCGGAAGCTTTTAGCAGAGACTACAGCAGAGAAAGCAATGGCTTTCATTACAAAACAACAAAAAGGTGACTGCTTTTAATTAAAAATAAAGTGTAGTAAAATAAAATTTTTAAGTGTCATAAAGGCACCACCAAATTCTGCCGCAGTCTCATAGAGTCAGCACAAAAATGGGGAGAATTGAGTGCTAGTGAAAAATAAAAGGAGAGAGTAGCCAACTTTCATCTCCTGTTCAATTTGAGAGCAGAAGTCTTGCTATGCCTGTGCTTGCTCC